ATAAAATTTACATTCTATTTTGCATTTTCTTATATTATTGCATTATAATTTCATTTGGAATCAAGTCAAACATTTCTTCTCAGTATATGACACTAGACAATCGTTGAGCAGATAATCATCCATTTTATTTTATAATGGATATTTAATAATTTTCACTGTGGAAAATGCTTTCTCCAATATTGCAGCGACAACTAATAAAATTAATGTTAAGACAATAAATCTGTAAACTAAGGGATACATAACATCTTTCTTATCATTAACTAAATATTTTATAAGATAAGCAATGCTATCCAAAGATGAGAACTTCTTATTTGTATTCATAACAAGAATATATGTGAATAGTTGATACACTAGTGCCACAAGTTCAACTACAAAAAAATCTATTGAATATAGCTCTGCAAGCAAAATTAATTTGCTGTTGTTATAAGCAGAAAATGAATTACTTGGATATAGACATGAAACACAAAGAAGCAATTCATTACATGTTTCAAATAATATATTATTTAACTCTTGAAGTTATATATTAATAATAGTGTAAAAGAAATCCACATGATAATGAAACAAATTTATTATTTTTCATTTTTGTGTCATGATCGATGGAAAGCTTTGAATGCAGAATTCATATTAGGAACATCAATCTTACAAACATTACCAAAAAGTGATATTTCATCCAATAAAGAATCGCATCCAATCCCTCGTTATCTATCAACCGTTATTTGAAGACTTGCACTAATTTTATTGCATTCATAATATCTTGATCTTTTCTCTGCAAGACTTATGATAATTCATTTCTAATACCTAAAATATCAAATATTAAGTGCATTATAAAGATAAAATCAAAAGACTTCATAGTATTTATCAGAATACCAACTTTAATATATTAATGATCATGTAACCCATCTTTTTTAATAATTTCAAGAACTTCAATGATATAAGTATACTTTTTCATCAAATTAATGAAGGTATAAAAATGTGAACCCTAACGAGTGTCACCAGTTCATTATAAATTTGTCTCTTGGATTAAACACCTATCATTACTCAACTTCACTTTGGATGGATGAAATATTATTTAATAATGTTGAATGGTTCTAAGAGTGTCAGTCCTCTTACATGAAGCTCTGACAGTATTAATGATTCTTAAATTGATCTCAAAAAGATGCTTCACATAAATTTTTTTTACAACCACTAGTCACAGCTAGAGATGATGAGCAAAATAATGAACATAGAATGCATGATGATTATCATTAAGTATTAGTGTCTTTAAATCATGAAATGCCCCACGGATATTCGATGCTATATCATATCCTTGACTAAGTATCCTATGTATGCTCAATAAGTGTTTTACAATATATTTTCAATAGCCACCTTTAGTACAATTGCATGCAATATATTTAATGTCTATATATCTTTCAGTAACTTGACTCAAATTATCTACATATCTCACTGTAACATCTTGTTATTCTTTCATAGAAATATAACGGGATTCATCAATTATAATTAAGAAATATGAGTAACCAATATCTTTCATAATATATATTAAAATTTCAACATTTTCACTAACTTTAAATTTGAGCTTACATATTTAGATGTGATTGACTTAGTTTTTTCATTATGATTTGAAAGGAAATCTACTAACTCCAAGTAAATACATCTATTATCTGATCTAGATAACTCATTATACCCATGAAATGATAATATTTGATGTCAGAGAAATTGAATATACTCCACTACTACAGTTAAAATGACCCATAATAGTTTTTGTTCTTCTCATCTTTGCTCAACCATTTAGCAGGAAAATTAAATCATCATCTACTATAGAGTATACTTTAGTAGATCTACATCATGTGGAAGGAAAATCAAACGAAGAGATGGTGGTTCATCTAAAAGGAAATATCCCTTAAATTAGTGAACAAGAAGCCGAAGAAGATATAGAAAGGAATGGAGAGGTGTTTGGTAGTGTAAATATGGTAGATATTCATTCATCTCTATGAAGTGGGAAAGAAAAGGATAAAGGTAAGAGCTACTAATGATGATGATGAAGATGATACATCAATTTTAACTCAATAACTTTTACTACAACTTTGGGAGTTTAAAGTGATATTGAGATTGAAAGGTTTAATATATCATTTATCTCTTCACGCTTGGCTAAGCAGTCAGTGAAACATATATTTTGAATAGCATCAATAAAAAAGAGAATCATTAAGAAATATATTGTATTTAAATTTCATCAATCCAAAATAATTTATCCAAATAGTATTTCTTTTATAATTATTTTTTATTTTAAATTAAGTGATTGAATCTCCTCCAAAATTTATTTTTATATAGTTAGATAATTATTATAGTGAAAGTAGACAGTACTAATATTTGCTAGTAAATATTCTTCATCGTTGAATCAATACTCTACTTTATCATTATATTACTTGATTTGTCATGTATACTTGTGTATATTAAGTGGTATTTTTATAAATTTTATATATATATAAAAAAAACTAAGCATTTTTTACGGAATGATAGAGCCCTAAATTATTTTCACAATTCTTTAGACTACTCTACTACCCCCAACAATGCATAAAGTGAATCTTATGAGCGTGTATGGGTTTTTAGTTTTGGCAAACTAGGTAAGCACCCAAATGGTGCTACTAATCGAGGTATTAGTTATAAATAACAAACCATTTTAGATAAGATGATTTTGATTGAGAACTAATAAGTCTTAGTCTATCAAACCAAGAATTGTTAAATAGAGTTTGATCAACTTATCAAAAGAGGCTAAATAATTCCATGGGATATTCTTGGGAATAAGGATAACAATTTAAGATATTTTTTTAGTGTTAAAGTAGATTTGATAAGATATATATAACATTTTGATGATGTTGATGAGATCAACAAGTGCTTATAGTATACCCTCTCTAGGGTTTTAGGAAATTTTATCTTATGAACTCAAGTGACATTAGAACATAAGAAGTTGTTGTACTTAGGCAACTTGCATGTTTAGTACTCAAGAAATTTTGAGAATGCTTATTACTATAGAATTTAATGAGACTGGTCAAGGATAAATAAACCAATAAATTTAAGGAATATTGTATTTATTAAGCTTAATAAGGGTTCACTAATTACCTAATCTTGAAAAGTTTTCCTTTCTTTAAGTAGTATGTCAATAAGGTACTTACTAAGGACCTATGGCTTACTGAAAGGATTGTTGGACCTTCCAATTACCATGAGTGATAGCAAAAAAAGTGACATTGATTGGAGTTCTTGATGATGGTAAGTGATCCTATTCTATGGAGACATGAATGAGATGAAATGTACAAGGAGTCATTGATATCTTTTACATAGTGTATGAGTTTGAGCATTTTCAAAAGAAAATGCTTATAAATTCTACCAATCCTTTGAATGTCATTGACACATTTATAGTGTTTAAGATAACACTAATGGGATGAAGTAATTTGGTGGGGGATATTTAAGTTTTTT